TCCACATAGGCCCTTCGGGGCAGCGTAGCTACGTAGCTAGATGAGTCGATCCAATCGAGATCGACCGCCACAGTGCGCCGGGTGACCCCGCTCGAGTCATCGCAATGCGACTTCACCGTCCGCAGCGAGTGTGATGATACTGCTACTGCTACTGCTACTGCTACTGCTACTGCTACTGCTCCTATCTGCTACTGCTACTGCTACTGCTAGGAGTAGGTTGGAGTCTCAGTCGTAGTCGTCGTTGTAGTCGTTGTCGTAGTCGTAGTAGTAGTCGTCGTAGTAGTAGTAGTAGGATGAGGAGGAGGAGCAGCAGGAGCAGGAGCAGAAGCAGGAGCAGGAGCAGGAGCAGTAGCAGTAGCAGTAGCAGTCGCAGTGTTGTTGTCGCTGGAACTAGTAGTGGTACTTGACAATATGCAGTTGTACTTAGTGCTAGGCAGCAACAGTACTAAGTGGTCGTAGGTAGCAGGTCGCAGAAGGAGCAGTAGGAAGCAGCAACAGCCTCACGTTAACAAGGACAATTTCTCCATGCATCTTGCGTCATCCCTTGCAGCTTCGTGAGCCGTGAGTCGTTGCATAAGAAGGCCTCTATAGCAAAAATGGGAGTATAGCTCTGCCTGTTGGCAAGGCCGCTCGATGATGATATCACCGATATCGCTGTACACGGGCATCGCAGTGAGGCAGCTTCACTGTCACTTAAACAGACATTAACTGACGCCACTCCTGCCACGACGCGCAGTCTGCGCCAAACAGACCGCCATCGCAGGTGCAGGGCCCGCAAATCACGATCAAACCGGAAAACCAGGATGAACCAGAGAGCAAAACATCTACAATGACTATAGCAAATGACATACAGTGATCCTTAATAACATACGAAACATAATGAATCGGTCAGAAAATCGTCAGAATTGGTGGAAAAGCGGGGAAAACCTAGAAGCCATGTTCTTGGTGCACGGCTCGTATGGGGCGGGTCTGCCTGCTGCAAAGAAGTTTCGCAAATTACCCCCAAAAAGCACTAGTAGCCTCAGGCGGAGGCAGGCCATCCCCACATGAAGAAACAGGAATGCATGGGAGACGTGCCGGAGCAGTGGAACAGTGTTACAGTCTCTGCACAGGAGCTTCACCAAGGAGGCCATTCAGCTCACAGAGGTGACCTTCAGCGCAGAAATTCATAGTCAAATGAAACATATCAGCAACAAAGGGAAGGACAAAAAAAGGACAAATGCCCAATGTGACAGCAACACAGAGCTGTCCCTGCATTTCATGTGGAGGAGATGATGAAGCCGAACGATAATACCGAGACAACCTGACCAGAGAGACGCCTGGGTAATATTGACTAGTTACAGTTCTGGTCCTAGTAAGAATAAGAGGAAGAAAGTGGAAGCCACCTTTCAGCAAACCTGGAAAGGGCCAGGATGCTGCGTGGTCTTGCACCAACTGCTCCAAGGAGAAGATGTCACCTGAGGAGGAACTTTCTGGGTACAGACCATGGAAGGAGTGATGAGACTTCTCCTGAGCAAGTAGGGATCATTGCACATGGGCCCCCAGCTGACTCCGCGAGGGCCCTCCCTGCCAGCGGAGGAAGCTTTGACAGGAGAGGAATTAAGGCCACCCAGATAAGTACCCAGAGACCTATTTGAGAAGGCATCGCTCCTTGGAAGTCAACAGTGGTAATTTTCCATTTCTTGCCCCATGCAAGAAGGAAGGATAAAGCATGTGCGCAGCGTGTGCCTTCGCTGCCAGAACTCCTCCACACTGGTAACATCAACATCCTGACACAAGAAGAAGCTACCGGGCACGTGTCGTCGCATTGGAGCATGGGCACGGGATCTACCACTTGCACCAGAAAGAAGGTTCAGCTTTGCTCGCCAAACATGTGCAGCATCATCCAGAGGTGTCAGAAACATTACAAACAATCGCTGGGCGCCTTGGGTATGTTAATTTTGGTAGGTCCCGGAATGACCTCAGTTGTCCAACTAGGTGCCTAGATGAAAAGGCTGAAGCTACAGCAGCATGTCCTCTCATCTGTACTGTACCGAGCATGCGGCCTGCGATGGAACCATCCTGGGCATTCCCACCTTTGCCGGCAGAGCCAAGCAGTGGTTGGAAAAGGCCACAGAGGCCAAGCACATCCAGATTTGGGGTTGCTCTTGGTTTAGGCTTGCGTCTAAGCGGGGACTTGTCGAAAAAATCGCAGCGATTCTTTTAAGTATCTCGTATCAATGGCAACAATGATGACAATGATCATACGGAAAGAAGGGGCAAACTGATATCTAAAGCACCAACTAGCGGAACAAACACGAATACAACTGACCCTTGCAAAGCTAGGAATCAGAAATACTCGTGATGTGCAGCTCAGCGTGCTCTCCTTTACGGATCACCATGATGAGTACTGCATGGCAACACTGGTTCGTAGGGCTAAGTCATCCATGAGAAGATTGCAGAAGACTGAACTACAATACCAATCTGTCAAACAACCATGAGGAAAACTATTTACGAATCCTCTGATAACCATAACTTGTCATCCCTGGAGCTATCATGCACTGTCTGCTACTGCTAAGTACTGCTCGGGTCTCACTGGTCAACGGCTTTTCGGTCAGTGCTTGTGCATCTGTCATCGTGACGTATGATGCTAATAACGGCGATGTCGATGGTGTCGTTGAGTGGGATGCTGACCGGTGATGGTGACGAGCATAACATCACTGGGAGCACTACTCTTGCAACCAGCACAGCTACTGTCTTTGGTCACCTGTGCTGTTTGCTTCTGTTCCGAGGCTTCAGCTGGCGCTGGGCTCTCCTGGAAGGACACGAGGTCTCGGGACGGCTTCCTGGAAAGCGTCAGAGGTGATCAGCTGCGAGATGGCAGCTCAACGCATGAATAGACTTTGGGCGTAGGGACATGGGTTTAGGGCTGCTGGCTGTTGCGAGGCAGCTCATGAGCTGCAGGGTCGCTGTTTGTAATTGGACTTCACTCAAAACAAAAAGACGCTCACCGTCAGGTCCAGTCCACCATTCTTCAAGAGCAAAGCTGGACACAGGCAGGTAGCCGATTGCAAAGTCTATACCACCCCTGCCACAATCGGCGTGACCTGCTGTGCATCCACGGACGGCTCTCCACAGGCCTCGCATGTCAGAAACGTGCTGCACCCGAGATTTCCCTGATGTTTCAGGAACAGTTCGGCGTGATTTCGACGTGGGTTGGGCAGGGCAGGAGTGTTTCAGGAATGAAATCATTGTGGAATGCCGTGTGTGTCCAGGGCCGCACGAACATAATAAAACATAACGGCAGCAAGAGTAATCGAAGCAACAGAAGCAGAAGCAGTATGTGCATGATTGTCAGTAGCCGTATGACGATGAGCCGCATGACGAGTCGTGTCACTATGCTGGCTTCGCTATGTCCGCTATGTTGCTGATTCTGATTGCTACGATTAGATTGTTACAAGTAGCTGCTCCTGTTAAAGTGTTTCTGACTGATGTCAATGTTAGCTTGGGCAGCTATGGACTGCTCTGAAAGGCCGCTGCCCACCAAGACCATCATTGTCTGTGTCCTCAGGGACCAGGGAAGTCGCGCTTGGGTTTAGGCTGCATCAGCTTCATAGGCGTGGAGGAATCTGACTTAAAGCATCCAGGACTCTGGATGCAGTGCATGTTGCTGCGCTTATTCTTCGATCCGACTGTAGGTCTGCAGTCCTCGGCCATCCCTACCAGGTTGTTGCCACTCAGAGAGCGCAAGCTGTGCAGATTGATCTGAACCTCGGCTTGCCGAGCTTGAGATTAATCTGAACATAGGAGCCCTAAAATTGGGACCGCGGCAGGCTCATCTGCACGAGGGCGGCTCAACGGTGCAAGGGGAACCACCTGGGACGGCGCAGCTCTTGACCTCTTGCATGCCGCTACACTATCGCCGACAAGACTAGCGAAGCCAAGGGCTTCATGAGAGATGTAAGCGTCAGCAGATGTTAGAAGGCCCGCTTCTCCATCACATCATCTGCAGAGTGCCCGGGTGCCCGGCCTCTGGCTGCATATCCTGACGATAACGACAACAGACAGACTTTGCAATCCGTGAAACGACAGGCGCCGAGTCAAGGATGTGTGGGAAGCTCATTGCGGGTATGGCTGGACAATGGCAGCCGCTCACCAAACTAGAATCCCTCAATAGTAGCAATCAGCACTGTGGCAATGGAGCTTAAATGCCTTGCAGCGACGACGACTCTGATCGTTAACATCTGACTGTTCTATCGCCGGCAATACGCTTGCTACACTGAAAGAAATTCTGACCAATTCTTAGAGCATAATTGCTCTTGGAAGCCGTGGTTCGGGCCTCCGTATCTTGACCGCCGAGGGAGCAAAGGCGCCCCGCTGCAGACGCGACCTGAAGTAAGAGGCTCCCAGGGATGCAGAGGCCGCAGAGATTAGAGCCGAGCTCAATCCAATAGGAAAGGCCATACTGAAAATGCAAAAGCATGCGGTGCTCATCAGCGTCTCGTTTGGACCGACTTGAGGTGATGGTCCGTGTAATGGTCCGATGCATAAAACTCTATGACTGCAAAGCTGGGCCGTCTGCTGACCGAAGCGGTTTGGGCTGTGGACCCAGCGAACCCTGAACCTCCGCAAGATGCTCGTGCAAAAGCAAAGCTCCGTGAATTCTGCCGTTTACCAGTGGTTCCCGGGCTCCAGGCTCCAAGAAGCTGGCCTGCCATGAGCCCCCACACACGCCACGCGCGCGTAGAAAACGCTAAGGAGCGATGCCGGCCTAGATCCAAAGGTAGGAAGCGTTCTGGCAGTTCAGCTTGCAAGTCCTGAGACAGTCGCAAAATCACGGCACGAGCGGCCGGAGACACGGCTCCTTCAACGAGACCCCTAAGCAGATCGCAACTTTTGCCAAATTGGACGCGTCCCCGGCGGCCAATGTGACACTGGCACCGCAGCCCTGTACATTTCAGCAGGTGCAAGGGCTCCTCGCCCTGGTCCCCACCGTCCAAGAACCTGACACCCACTTGATGCTAGGGAGTCTGCGATCTGCCAGCTGCAGGGCCAGAAACAGCTTTCTCACAAGCACCCACGGCTCCGCTGTAGCTGATTTCGTTGGGCGCCACGCCCTGCGCCTCCATCTGGTCCAAGAGATGCAGCGAGAGAACCCACCGCGCGCGCTTCTCCAACGCACTGATGGCACTGCTGTAGCTGAAGACATTTGGGAGGAGGCCATCCGCCCGCATACCCTGAAGGACAACTAAAGCCTCGGCCCACCTCTCCGAGTCTTCACAGGCTCCCAGGGCACCTTCACAGCTTTACAAAACCACCGCCCAGGATGGGTGGAAATAGGATTTAAAGGGTCAAAGAACAAAGAAACAAAAAAAGGGCCAAAGGCCGGCGGCGGCCAGGGCCAGGAGGCTGCTGCATGCAATGATCCTGCTGGGTGCCTGCAGGGCTTTCGTGGCTTTCATCCTGCAAAGGCCCCTGTCCAAAGCCTGGCGCCAGCGGCCCAGGCGCTCCCCGGCCACCAGAAAAAAAACCGACTTCGTGATGGCACTCTCCTGAACTCAGGGAGTTAGGACCGCCGTAAAGAGGCAGAAAAGCCTAAGTCTGACCCTTGCTGTTCCGAGCATCCGCCTGACGACACTGCCCCATCCTTTGAAAAAGTCGAAGTCCGGCTCTCCACTTCTGCGACTGACCACAAACCGTCATGGCAGCATTGTAGCCTCACACAGGGACTCTTGCTTGTAAAGGGACGAGAACGGCATCCTGGCTCTTCAGTCTGCCGGGTGGCAAACAACCTCTGAGGCGTCGTGCAGTCCCCGTGCGACGAGCTGTTGCAAAGCGGCCGTCCAAAGCGCTTGCTTGAAGCAAGCGGCTATTGCACTCCCAGACACCACGATGGTCAACGGAACTGCGGCACTGCGCATGAACGCCAAGGTGCCGAATGCCAGCTCCCAGTCCTTCACAGGGCCGCAAAAAGCTGAGAAGGATTTGCAAGCCTAACCTGGAATCGCCCAAGCCCAGCCCTTTGCCATTTGCGTTCTTAGGGTCTTAGAGGCTTTATTCCCACTGCCCATTTCTATTACCCCTACTCCCTTGCAGGCTCACCATGCTCCTCGCAAAGCTTCATGAGTGTGCCAAGGGACACTGCGCTGGGTCGCAAAGCAGACCGCCGCATGCGAGGTAGATTACCCAAGGCCCAGCTCCAGCGATCGTCTTCCAGAGAGTTTGCAACCTAGGAATGGAAGCAACCTAGGAATTGGAAGCAGAAATTGCACTGCCTGCATGCAACCTGGAAGCAGTGTTGTAGCTGATGGCATCAGGCAGGATTGCTTTCGAAGTCAGCTTCTGCACAAAAGCCGCCGACCTCAAAACTGTGAGGATTGCTCTACTCTCGCTCTCACAGAGATTGGACATACTCGCGGTCAATGCGAGGAACATGCCGAACTTCACGCAACAGCTCAATCCCCTCGAACCGCTGTTTAACTTGCGGCAGGGGATCCGTCTCCAGTCGCCGATGCCACATACGCGGGCGACATTGTTGCATGTAATCACACCCTTGGATACTGTGTCACAAGGTCTCGTCCTTTGCATGGGCCTCTGGTGCACAGAGCCTATGTTGAGGTGCAGCCTGGAGGCAAGGGCTGTTGCGCAAGAGACCATCGAATCCGCTAGTTGCAGAGCACGGGGCCACGCGACGCCATAACATGCACTAATGCAGCTGTTGTAGCTGATGGCGTTTGGGACACCTCCGAGATCGTGCAGCAAGCAGAGGATTGAGTGCGCCATCTGCCATTGTTTCTTCTCGCCGGCATGAATGACGGTGTTCAGACTGACCAAGTCGGCAGTCTCTGCACGTAGCATGCTGCACAGCATCTGGAGTGCCCGCGGCCATCGCTGCGTCCGACCAACAGCACCCAACACCGCATTGAAGTGATACACATTTGTCTGAACGTCCCCTTCCAGGAGTGCCTGGAGAGTCTTGCAAGCATCCACCCAACCAGCACTTAAGGCGCGAATGGCCTTGCGTGGCTTCCGGCGCCAAGCCTGTAGCCGCAGAGACAACGATTGCAGGGACTGTGCATTCGTCGGCTCCGTCGCATTCCCTGCCCAAGCACAATCCATGCAATCTTGGGGCCCGCATTCCTCACGGCTCACAGCTGATCATGCAACTAATTTGCTGCAAGGCCCATTCGTGCGCTCTAGGATCGACGCAACGGGCCATCCCCACTGCGGGCCGATCGCTGGTCGCTTGAGCCAGCAGCTGTTGACAATATCTTCTCAAGATGCCTCTCAGTCTCACGGTGTCCGTCAGATGTCCCTGCAGGGAGCCTCTTGCCCGTGCATGCTCATGGTGTCCAGACCTCACCAGGCTATGCAGACACCCTCAGTTTGCATCGTTCAGGTTCATGAGTGCTGCACTTTCGATTGACTGGGCCGGGTGCCCATTTGATTCATGTAGTACGGCGCGTCGTCGGCCAGGTGAGCAGCCTGCTTCTTTTTGAAAGGACAGGACAGCTCACTTGCGTTGTTGGGGAGATTTTCTCTTGTAAGTAGAGCTAAGTTGCATCGGCTTGTGTTCCAACCCCACACTAGCCCCGTTCATGCACCTGGATCTCTGCCGCAGCGGCATGCAGGCGCCGAGCCTCTGCTGCGTGCGCCTGGCATCGACGGAATGTGGGCTTGCAATTGCGCACATCCGCCCGGTCGCATCTGCAGGCGCCTGCGCTGCCTGACCGATCTGCATGAAGGTCTGGTATGCCTGACCGTTGCCAACTGAATCCAGGCTGCACACCTCGTCCTACTCGCCTTTTCATGCGCATTCGTAAAGATTGTGCAGCTGCCCTGTTAGGTTTTGATATGTTGATTGCTTAACAGTTTGGATCGCCCCAAGAGTGCTTCTGACACATTCCGACGCTGAGGGAGAAGTGGCCTTGTCCTTCTGGAGTGCTGACATTGACATAGCTGAGGAGCCTTGGTCAAGCCGTTGACATGGGCAGCAAGAATTTTTGTGCAGCCCTGGTCAGTATGGGAATACTATACAAGATCATCAGCTCCACGATGAGTGACTCAGTTGCCCCGATGACTTCACTTGGCCAGAACTGCAGTGTCTTGCTCTGCAAGACAAAGAAAAGTCATTTGTGTGAACCTCATTGCTGCAGTTGCTGCTTGTAACTAGCTGTACACCACAAACCTTCCTACCGTACAATTGCTGCCACTCTCCTCTTACCGCCAGCACTATTACTACCATCATCGCTGACACAAGTACTGCCACCATCCGAGTATGACTGCTTCCAACTACCAGCATTGCTGCTGCTGCTGCTGCTGCTACTACTACTACTACTACTACTACTACTACTACTACTACTACTACTACTACTACTACTACTACTACTACTACTACTACTACGCGTCTTCGGTTGCTCTTTCTACTGCACAGTACCGCTACCGCCCACTAGTACGACTACCGTTATTGCTACTCCCACTGACACTCTTTCCAGGAGCACTATGCTATCGTTACAATTACTACTGCTGCACTTTGACCACTACGGTTTGTCTGCTATGGTTGCTATGGCTGCTTGCGCCACTTGTAACCTAAACAGATGCTATGCATGCGGATTCAGTGCTATACCGGACGTTACATAGCTTGCTGGTCCCGAATGTTAATGTCTTAAGTTTACTACTCCTAATACTACTACTGACTACACTACTGCTAAGACCTCCCTCCCGCACTCTCGTACAGGGTCTCCAGTTCTGTTGTTCCAAGCAAAGAAGGCCGAACCAAAGGGCTACCCCGAGATCGGTGTGGGATGTTTTAAAACTGCCTGCCGTCATGTCACCCACTACCACTACTACCACTACTACCACTACTACCACTACCACCACTACTACCACTACCACCACTACTACCACTACTACCACTACTACCACTACTACCACTACTACCACTACTACCACTACTACCGCTACTACCACTGTTACCACTACTACCACTGCCACTACCACTACCACTACCACTACAACCACTACTACTACCACTACTACTACTACTACTACTACTACTACTACTACTACTACTACTACTACTACTACTACTCCTGCTGCTTCTACTACTACTACTACCACTACTACTACTACTACTACTACTACTACTACTACTACTACTACTACTACTACTACTACTACTACTAGTGCGACTGCGACTACGACTACGACTACGACTACGACTACGACGACGACGACCACCACCACCACCACCACCACCACTACTACTACTACTACAACTACTACTACTGCTACTGCTCCTGCTCCTGCTCCTGCTCCTGCTCCTGCTCCTGCTCCTGCTCCTGCTAGTACTACTTACTGCTGCTGCTGCTGCTGCTGCTACTACTACTACTACTACTACTACTACTACTAGTTCTGCTCCTGCTCCTGCTCCTGCTTCTGCTCCTCGTGCTGCTACTGCTGCAACTGCTGCTACTGCTACTGCCACTGCGACTACGACTGCGACTAGGACTGCGACTGCGACTGCCACTGCCATGGGCAACTGCCAGTGCCCGTGCCTCTGGCTCTGCCACTGCCACTACTACTACGACAACTACTACACCACTGCCACGACCGCCTGCCCCTTCCCTGCCAGTGCGTGTGCGATGCCACTGCTGCCACTGCCCTGCCACTCCCACTCCCATTCCACTGCCACTCCCGCCACTTCTGCTGATATGATTATTGCAATCATCAGTGTGGCTACTACTTCTACCACAGTTTGCAGTCTTGCTCCCGTTGGCATACTGTGACCGTTGCTACTTGGCTAAGAAGTAGTAGCTCCTGGTGGTCGCAATGGCACAGCAGCTGTAGCACAAGTAATGATACGAAGTCATCAGAGCCACTATCAGCCCCCGGGGCCCAGTCTGCGCCGGACACCAGGTCGGACCTCGCCCGCGGCCAGCCTGAAAGAAACGGTTCAAGTCATCCACTGAGCCCGCACATGTAACTTTGTCAACTTCATGCCAGTTCATGCAGAGGTATCTTCGCATTCATGTTCTGCCGTCGTGCGGTGGAAAGTTCCGAAGAGGCCAGGTTTCTGCGCCTCTTATTCGAGTTTATCTTCCTTCAACTTGCAGCTGACACGTCACAACAAGTTCATACCATCTTATGATAAACAGTTCAGAATCCAAAGGCTAAGGGGTGCGTCAACTATCAGAAGCCCTCCTTTCTACAGGTCGTGGGAGGAAGGCATATGTCACTAAGCTAGCAACGATGAGAAAAGATGATGAGCCTCGCACACAGACCAGGGGTGCGCTTGACAAGGGATACAGTGTGGAGCCAATGGTGCATAGTCTGCAGCTTTGCTTTCTCTTTCGCTGACCATGTACATCAGATCGCCGGTACACCCTGGGAACTGCCAAAAGCCTCTCCAACATATATTCTGCGCGAAGTTCTTAAGATCGCAACCTTCCAACAAAGCTGCTGCTATCCTACCATGTTGCTGTTACTGCTTTCGTGCACCAGATTGTAGGTTGCCGTCCTGCGGGACAAATTCGACCCCGAAGGGTGCTGACTGCTGCCGAGGTGCGGCAGTTCAAAGTGCCGCATTTCCTTCAAGTTCATGTCTGTTTCATACATACCGGCAGAACCCGAGAGACACAGCAAGAGAAACAGAACATCTCTGTCATGCTGATTCAGCACAAAGTTCTTCCAAATATGTTTGAGACCGACCAGCAACTGCTAACTGCAGCTCTGACCACCAATGCTGCAGGACCGACTCCCACAGTTCTGTGTGCCTGCTCCCTTTCTACATCGGGGAAGGGCAATGGCCGCAGCTCCTGCGGAGGCATGAAAAAGTTCAGCTTCTTCCGATGGCTCCCGGTCTGCTTCTTTTCCGATCTTCCTACTTCTCTAAAGGACCAGTTTTTCAAGCAAAGTGTCTAAGTTCCGACAGATCGACGACAAGACCACCGAAATCACTTTGTCAGGAAAGACGAACTACGTGTATCTGCCAACATCGGGGGCTGAGCAGAAGACAACTCAAAAAGCGTCAGGCTTGAGCTCCTCCTGGCTGTGAGCATATCGGCAGTCGGGATTATCACAGCCGCCAGTTGCGATCAAAGTCTTGCACAATTTGGTGCACGCCTAGGTTGAAGCGGTTCTTGCAAGCTGCAGCTCGATTTTGCAAGCCATTGAGGACAATACCAGATCGGGAAGGCACTGCAACTCCGACCTCAGAGCAAGATGGCAAAAACGTTGAGAGCAATGGTTGAAGATGCATCATCGCTTGGCGCAGCGACTGGGAGTGCGCAAAACGGCAGCTGCTACCCTGAGCAGAAGCGCACTTACCACGATGTTGCTACTTCGCAGTCATGCCGAAGCGGTCAATCGTTTCACTCCTACACATGGACTACTGCCACAACCACAACATGTTGTCGAGGACCATGTCCAGTCCACCCACTACCAGGAACCGCACAAGTGCTGACAATGTGGGCTACACATACATTTTCCAGCACTGCTACCTGCTCTGTGAGTGGTGACAGTGATCATGATGACAACGGCTTTAAGCATCTCCCCTGCCTTGGTGCAGGCGCCCAAAATATGGAATTTGCCTCCGTGGGATGACACTACCAGAACTGGTTCACTCGACAGTCAGACCAATCAACCGGTACCACTCGAAATCTTAGGAACACGCACATCTTCGTCTTCTCGAAGACTTGAGTGCGCATGGACCGCTCCTGGCACAGGGCTGCCAACAAAGGTGAAAATTCCAGAACAAGGAGGACCAATCCAGAAACACGCAAGAAAAAACACTTGAAACAATCGCATAACTCTACTAAAAAACAAAACAATAAAAAAAAAACAACTGATCTAAGCCCGAAACCCTAAACTCCTAAACCATACGTCCTAAACCCATGAATCCCATACCCTGAACCTCCGTCCCGTGTTGCGAATAGGTTCTCTGAGTCCGCCGGCTGTTTCTTTTACGAATGGGCACCCTCCCGATTTTTTTCGGAACCACTTTGCTCTCCTTGGCACAACTACTTCTGCCTGTGGCAGAAATGAAGCAGCTGGACTGGGCTTTGTCCTCATCGTCTGCAGTCGGGGAGAGTCCCGAGGTGACCTGCGCGCAGACTGCGACACCCCGACAGCCCCGAAAGCTTGGGGCTCTTGTCGGACCTGTGTGGCTGCTACGGCGACGGTGGCTCCGCTCCTGGACTGGTGGTGCGAAGCAAAGCGCGAAGCAAATCCGCACGGACAGAGAGCGCTGAGCGATGCTGAGCGCCTGCGTCTTCGGGGCATGTCCTCTCTTGCCTCAGACTCATGCGGACTGCGGACTTTGACTTTGTCGTGCGGTTTGCGAACTCTTCAGGTGAGGACACTTGCTTGCACGTGCTCAGAAGCTGGCCACGACTTGTGGGGTAGTTGGCCCCGAGGGTTTTGAGCCAAGCCAACACTGCAGAAGAGCGAGCAGAGCATGGCATGGCGCCCAGCGACTCACGAGCAGATGCAGATGCAGACGATGCAGTATGATGCTGTACTTGCTTACGAACATCGGCACATCTGTGGCAAGGTGCAAACTAACCGTCGCCAGCCTCCTTCAGACAAAGCTCCTCAATATCTGCCTTGTTGAGGGCACGGCTCCGACTGCCAAAGTCTTTGACTGGAGGAGCAGCTGGAATTAACAACAGGGAATACATCTCCAACGCATCTATAAGGATCTTCCGTAAGTAGCCAGCCATCTTCTCAGCATACAGCTTCCCGGTGCCCCTCCATCGAACGTTGAGTCCACGGGCGGCCCTGGCTTGCCGTCTAGTGTTTCAGGACTTTCGTTGGCCTACTCATTCCTTCCGAGCGCTGGGGCGAGATCTGGAAAAGACTACTGACTACTCAAAACAGGCACACCATCTGGAACACAAACCTCCGAACATCTTGCCAGGTCTCGACAAGAGCATGCTTCCTAGAACAATTCCGACGCTTCTGGCGGTTGCAAACAGAACTGTTCTACAACTGTGCAGTCTCGGCACTCGCACCCTTCCCTTTCAAGCATCTAGCACATAGCGCAGGTCAGGCTTAGGGCCTAGGGGAGTACCGGGCTCTGGGAGGCAGGGAGACCTCTCAAACTCCTCCGACTTGTACATCTGCTGCAGGTCACCCAACATTGCCATGGCAGCCTTCCGCAGTTCAAAGGCGACCAAATCTTCGGAACAATCGGGGGGGGGGGGGGGGGGGGTGACCTCGGCGTTGAAGACGGCACGGAGGGTTCGTCGCCAGCGCCGGGTAGCTGCCTCGATGCTTCGGGAAGGATGTTGATGCTGCACTGTTGCGGCGGGCGCTGGTCCTCGTCTGTTCAGAACTTTTGATCCGAAAAGCGGGGTTCGTTTTGTGACCCTCGCGGGCGGACCTCTTTCGGGTCCTTTTCCTGCGCGGTGACTTCAGGATCTGCCTGGCAACGTGATATCTCGGATAAGCAGCAGGTGTTCCAAGCCCATGTTCTCGGGGCCTGCTTCGAGCTGAATCCCGAACCTCTCTTCGCGCGAGATTCCTCTGCATGTTGTCTCAGAAAGGATCATGCAGCCTGAACACGTGCATCATGGATCTTGGTGAGATCCAGCTGTCGCATTGCGGTCCTTGGCAGACTCTGCAGCAGCCTCCTCTTTCTTGATCACCTGACAAACAAACCACAACATGAACCTGCGCAGCCTGCCAGTAGCTGCTACAAATAGCATGGAAGCCACCTCCGCAAGAACGCCGCGAAGCAGCTGCAGAAGCTCCAGAGGCTCGGTGTAGCGCATCCTCCAAGCACAAGGGAGATCGAGAAGTCAAGGGGAGGAGAAAATACTCTTTGTGCCAGATACCATGTTTGGTGCTCATGTAGGGATGCTGGGGCTTCGACCCATCGAGCAAACACGTCGTGGCCGCTTCATAGTCCTCGACAGGTTCGATGCGCTAAGAAGGCTTAAGACGTAACAACCCTGAGTATGAAGTGAGACAAGCGCCAGGCTGCAACAGCAAGTCGCGCTGCTTCGGTCTGCGCTGCACACCAGAGTCTGTAAGCCGAGTCTTTCGAGAGGCCATGTGAAATGGCCTCCTGGCCTAAGCTGTCAAAGCTACTACGGAACGACTTCCCTGCTGCTACTAGTAACATCAAGTCAAGAACACTGCTACTCGTGGTCCCGTGGTGTCGCCACAAATCAATGTTTAAATGGTCGGCCACGGTCTAGACTTTGCTGCCGGGCACGACTGACGAGGATTCGCGGCTCACAATAACACCCGGAACTCGCCGAATTCGAAAGCAGGTTATTGCTGTATCCAATGGCCTAAGAGTGCGGACTGCTCCGCATTCAGCACAGCTACTGGAAATCAACCTGTGGAAGTGGCAGACTGTATCTTCCAGCCATGTGAGACTGCGTTCTTCAGATCACCCAGAGAGGCACTTCTCTCAGTAGGGGAACCTGAATGGAAGCGACGGGATGCAAAAGCACACTCAAAGTCTGCCTCCACTCGGATTCGGGCAGAGCCACCATGGGCGAGCCAAAAACAGAAGCCATCTCCTCCGAAGTAGCCATCGCTTCGAAAGACGAGCTCTCGCGGGATGGCAAATCCTGCAGACTGACGGCCTGGTTCATTTCATCCATGGCTTTGTCGACCTGCGCCTGAAAGGCGGTCCGGTCGCTTCTCTTCACAGTCGAAGGAGCGCCCCGGGACTGTCGGCCGAAGCCATAGAAAGTTATAGTATGCAATAATATTTAGTTATCATTATTCTTATTATTATTGTTAATTTTCATAATATTAGTATTATTAAGACAAGCTGAAAAGGATCTTCGTCAGGCACAGTCAGCGTAGACAGGGACGGCACGTATCGGCATGACATTGTGGAGCCAAGCCGAAGCTCGGCAAAAGCGCAAAATTGACTTGAAGCCACATGAGAGGCTCAAGCCCCATGAACCTGCATTATAACACTGCACACATGTCTGGAAGAGAGTGTTTTTGCATGTCCACATATACGAATAGCCAAACCAACAAAGAGACATGCATGCACGTGCAGTGTAGATACAGAAGTATGTGTGCATGCCGCATGCACATTCTGCAAACATGGCTGAAGTTGTATGCACATGCATACATGATGCACTGCAATGCATACGTTACATTTCGATTCGAGACGGGCCTGCGTCTGCCGCATCTCCTGCTGTGCCTCACGCAGCCGCTGGTCGGCTTCCGAGGAGGAGGACCGCTGCCCACCTGCAAAACAAGACGAAAGAAGCTACGGCGCAAAGCCTTACCTTTGGTTAGTAGAGAATGGAAGAATGGTAGAAATAGTAGTCATAATTTTGCCCCATTCCTCCATTCCCTACTAACCCAAGGTAAGAAGCGGCGACCAGCATTCTCCACTCCGGCCTTTGAGGCCGGGGATGTTGGTCCAAAGTCCCCGATTCTCGTCCACTTTAGTCCGGAGCTGACCAGACTCGTCGCGAACGCTCTGAATCACGTAACTGCTGGAGGAGACATAGTACCTAAACACAGAGCGGAGGACCATTGTCGGCCCATGGAGACTACCAACAAATGCAAAAAGAAATCCGTGCAACTCACCTATCACACAAGTCAGCACTCCAAACTAGTACAGCTGTGCGTCGCGTCCCTCGGCATGCCATCTGCTTGAGGGCTGGAGCCTGCCATAACCATAACCCATGAATCACTTGTACATAACATGAGACAAGCGCAGCCAGTGTTGCCTGCAAACAAGAACTCAGGAAATCAATGCTAGCAACACATCTCAGCTCTCAGAGGTACATTCGTATATGGTACAGTTCACAGAACAGCACCTTGAGAAAGGGCGAAGAGCACCGCTGCAAGCGCTGCCGCACCGGCCGCCGCAAGCGGAAACTTCGGCTCCTCAGGAAACCGACTTGCCCAGCACTCGCTTGCAACTGTGCAAGAGTTACTACCAGTACGGAAGAGTTGAACTAATAATTACTAATAGTTACTGATTCTAATGACTAACTGCTTTGCTTTTTTGCTCCTGCCTCGGGCTTGGACGGCTTGGCCTGGACTGGCCCAGGCTTCGCACGCGTGCCCTGCAGCCGGGCACCGCGGCTCCGAGGTGCCTGCGGAAGAGTACAGACTGGGCATGGCCTGACTTTGCTGTCTCGGGCCCCAGCCTCCCCAGCCTCCGGTTGGCGCTCTGCATCGCGCGACGCTACTATGACACTACCTCGGAGGCGCGCGCAATGCTTCGAAAAGCACGCGCTGCGAGGACAGTAATCCAAGGGAGGTGCTTACTCCACGGGTGTGTCTCTTCAACACAAGTAGTAGTTGCACGTAGTTACACATGAGCTGCTCTTTGCAGCTGGTCTCCGTCCATCCAGGGCAGGACTATTGCAGAGGAGCTACCAGACGTGCCTTGGGGATCACTTTCTGACCTTGGTGACACTTACTGCAAGCTTGCACTTCCGTAACAGTCCATCTACCAGCCCTCCACAACAAGCATGCTTCTTGTGAGGAAAGTTGCTGGCTGGCTCTGGCCACCTCCGGTCGCCTGGCGTTCAGATTCCAAGCATCCAGGCCGCCTCTGGTCCTTGACCCTTGACGTTCTGCCCTTGCCTCTGATGGCGGCCGGAAGCCACAAAGCTTGCTGCTTGCAGCGAAAGAAAGCAGGCCAGCAGCCTCGGAATCAGCATCTTTACAGGCTCAGCGGGCCACACTGCATAGCCGCATAGCCGAGCTGCAGGACTGCGTTCTGAAGCAACTGCCCCTTCTTGGGCAGCCTTCTGGAGCTCCACGACATTGGTGCAGCGAGATACTGGGCCACTGCGGGGTTTGCCAGCAAGCTGGAAAAGTGCTACAAAACCTGAGTCAGCTGCAGTGATTTTGACATGCATGGTCCAGAGAATCCAACCGGAGGATTTGTGACTTTGGAAGACTACACTTTCTATTTGTTGCGGCCGATCTTGACACATGCCTTCCTCGAGCCAACAGCTGGCGACACTTTCCAGGCTGGCCAGGGGTTCAGGGTTAAACGCTTATGGTTTACGTGACAGTTTCTTTGAGCACTGACGTCTGCTTGCTTGACTTTTTGAGCTCAGGCGGCCTTGTGCGCACGGCTCTCCCACCCGCCTCGTCTCGCGCAGCCTCCCTGAGGGGCTCCCAGCCAAGGAGGTCCATGGCAATGGCAGCGGCAACTATATGAGCCTCACTTGGGTTGGCTTGGAAGCATCTCTTGCGGCTTGTGACAGCTTGATCTGGAGCATGAGAAAGTGCGCACGCCTCCTTTGTAGAGCCAGCCCGGAGGAGTGCAAAGTGTAAGGATAGGGTGACAAGTTTCGCTGGCTGCAGCAACTGTGGGAAGTCACGCAAAGCTGCCTGAACCGTCGCTCTGTCATGAGATGACATTTTGTCAGCTCTCTGTGGACACTGTCGTGTTGCTGTCGAAGACTATGACATCCTGCCATGGACACTCACAGCATCACCTTCTAATTACGACCTTTATGTACCAATGGCCACCTCTTGCGCACACAGGGCAGGAGCAGATGCGGATTCTAGAGAGGGGTCCTGGCAAGCGTCCGACGACGTTTGATGAATTGAGGCAGGCAGTGTTGTGCTGCCCGATGCCCATCTTTGAGGACTCTTGCCAGGAGAAACTTGGGTGTTCAAGCTTGCAAACCTTCGACGGTATAGCACTTCTCGACCGGTCACAGAGTATCTGCGAGGGAGGCAACCTCCACGGTGGTGGTGCATGCAAGAAGTGAGGCCCGCTGCTCAATCTCACACTGCTCACGGCTCGCGGACAGCCACATGCGCAAGAAACACATCCTATGTGCAGGAAGCACATCCAGTACCGGCAGCAGGGCTTCACAATTTCCGATGCTAGCAAACATCACTGTACAGTGCGTGAAACGCAGGGCCTTTCCAGCTGTGGTTTGCCTGTGCCCTGCCCCCCGACCGATCCATCCTGTCTGGTTCCGTGATTACCCCCCAGTTTCCACCGAGTCGTAGCCCTGGGGTGACTTAAATGCCGATCAACTGGACGGAACCGGGGTTTTGATGTGCGTCTGGCCAAATGCGAAGAGCCAGATCAGCTGCAGGACCTGATTAACGTTGAGCTCCTTCGACGTGCCACGCTTCTGCACCTGAGTCGCCACTGCTCCATCTGAAACGATGTGGCGATCTATAGTTTCGGCAGAGTGCCTTCTTGGTACTGACGGGATGCTGGGAGGGCGTCCTGATCAGAGAAAGCCACACCCACAGCATAAGTGGTCGGCAAACGCAACCAACAGCCCGAACACAACAAATGGCGTCGTCGCTTCTTCAGGAACGAGTAAGCCATGCCTGCTGCAATGCCGTTTCGCCGGAGGTGAAGAAGCCTTCATCAGACGCAGACGACGTCGCACACTTATTCCAGCTAGGATCAGCCGAGCCGTCAAATCGGAACTTCACATTTCCCCGTTGGACTTCATCGGACATACAACAGTGTGTCTTGGGTGCTCTTTTGCAAGTTCGCCGCAGTCCTTCGCCTGGTACCTCCAATATGCATACAAAAGAGCATAGGTGCTTCCAACCGACAAGACCGCCTGCTCCGGTGGCGTTTTGCAGCGGAGGCGCCTGTGCTCGGTGCTCTGCAGACCAGCTAGCACGAAACCACTGGCGGAGTGTGCAGGACTGCAACAGTGCTCCGAAGAACGAACCAGGCCCAACACAGTACTTGCCGCACCCGGCCTTGCTGGTGCTTCCGGCGTGAGAATCACACCATCACCTGACAGCACAAGCTGGATACCTAAAAAAGAGTGTCGCTCCCTGCAAGTGCCGCGATCAAATCATACGTCACACTTCCCAGACTATGGGAAGTATACTTGCGAGTCTGCAATGACATGACATGATGATTCTTGTGAACGTCATCCGCAGCCCTCATCGTCAAAATCCTTAGTGCCCTCATCCTCGTCCTCAACATCCCGATCCTCATTCTCGTCGTCCCCAAACATCCTCCTCAAGCTCAGCAGTAGACCCGCCCCATCATCATCATGATCATCAGCAGCAACAAGAAAATGAAAACATCAGCAATGACAATAATGATTAATGACAATATCTTGAGTACCAGAGCCATGGTGGATACCATCGCGACAAACATCGCCGTCAGCAGCAAGGTCACAAACAGTATCGTCACATCATCATTGCAGCCATAATGAACATCGTCTTGACCCTCATGGCTACCGCAGCGCAAAGCCCGCACGGCAGCCTTGTGGGCTGCGAGCTGAAGTGGCCGCTCGCCTGAGGCAGGCTGCGACAGATCCCGCACGTGGATACTAATACTGTTGTCAATACTTGACTTATCTGTCGTCTCAGGGTTCTTGCGGAAGAGATATCATTATCCCATTCCTCAGAGTGCTACAAGTCTGAGTCATTTCACATAACTGCACTACTTGTCGCAGTTCAAGTTGCATTGCTCTTCCATGAACAGCGAGAACTACTAAATAATTACTGATACTAAACCATGCGATACTAGATTGTACCATTATTAATCGTAGAGCTGTGGAGCAGCTTCGATAGGACAAGCAGGAGCAGCAGCAGAAGAACTGTGGAGCCAGTGTTGGTGCTGGTGGTGGTGGTGGTGGTGGTGGTGGTGGTGGTGGTGGTGGTGGTGGTGGTGGTGGTGGTGGTGGTGGTGGTGGTGGTGGTGGTGGTGGGTGCTGGTGCTGGTGCTGGTGCGGGTGCTGGTGCTGGTGCTGGTGCTGGTGCTGGTGCTGCTGCTGGTGCTGGTGCTGGTGCTGGTGCTGGTGCTGGTGCTGGTGCTGGTGCTGGTGCTGGTGCTGGTGCTGGTGATGCGGGTGCTGGTGCTGGTGCTAGTGCTGGTGCTTTCCTGTTACATCATGGCACCGTGTCTGTATGACCACTTCTTGCTGTTTGTCGTGGTACTCTGTCTGAACGACTTCTTCTTGCTGTTTACATCCTCAACTGTACCAGCAAAACTACACTTTTGCTGGAACCTTAACAGCTTAGGGGGTGAGTCTTCCGTTCTGTCAGCTGAGCAATTAACATGCACGTGGTTGGACAGGCCAATCAAGTGCAAGAGTTTCCAGCAGGACTCGCCCCCGACATCGTCTGAAGGAACGCTGTAGCCTGTTCCAGCACGCAAAACAAGTTGGACGCCGCATTTGCATCGCGTCGATGTGCTCCTGTACAGCCTTTGCAGCACAGCCAGCTTGACCCTACTGTAGCTATATAAAACGATATCGCCTCCGCAACGTCCAATCAACGTGCGATTGCCCTGGTGCCGCACTCAGCACGGAATCCGCGGGGCGAGATTTGCATGGCAAATTAGTGCGGTACCAAACGTACCAGGCACACCGTCTTTTCGATCAGCTTTGCCGCTTCTGATTTGAGTCCTGTGCAGGTGCCCCTCGTGCACAGCCAGCTGCTGCCCAAGCCCCACAGATGTAGTGATGCCTAACTGCCTGCAGCTGTCGGTAGCATGTGCATCGCTTGATAAGCTTGCATGGACAGTTGTTCACCGAATGCGGGCTGCGAGGGATCATCGACAGGTCATGACGAGCATTTGATCGCTGGAGTGCAGACTGTCCTGTCGTTCGAGGGCCGCAGCCACCAGGCTCTCACTGAAGCTCCAAAGCTTGTCCTCTGCTGGGCCTCAAAGCTTCTCACTTGCAATCTTTGCACTACTATGCACTACTGCAGCTTGTACCCATCTCTCAGCGGCCTTCAAGGTCTGTCAGCCTGCACTGCGCATAGAAGCCACCAGATACCACGTCAGCCGCTATGCAATAGGCAACGGTGGCCTCAAGCTTCAACGTGGAAATGTCTTTCTGGCTTGCGGGGTCTGTGAGGCCTTTGGAGCATTCCGAGGCTCTGGCAGCACCGTGCTCCGGCGTCTGCGCTCGGCTGAAGGCCCGGAAGACAACGCGAATCAGCCAAGGCAGGTGTCGGTCAATTTCGGTGGCCACTTCACCTTTCACGAATCGCACGAATCACTCGGTGTCCGGAGGTAAGGGCTTTACTGACTCTGGCACCTGGTGTGCAGCTGACAGCCTCGACCTTCCGCTGGTGCAGGGAGCGTGCGAAGAGGACGTTACAGTACCTCGGCCGAGCGCGGAAACTCTGGGGTGGGAGGCTGTAGCCTAATTTCGACAAGACAAGACACTTTGAGGCCAAGTAGTTGCCAATAAAGCTGTAGTGGCCTCAGCACGCAATGTGGCCTGAAAATCCGACTCCCGAGGTGGCACATCTGGAAGAAACGGGTGTCATTCACCTTTCGGTTCGACTATCCGTAACTATCCCTTTTCACTGTGAACTCCGATTAGAGCTGGCACTGAAGAAGAAAACACTTGTTCCGACCATCTGCTTCGGGGAAGCCCTGTATGTCGATCATCGTCATTGTCATCGTCGTCACAACCACTAATTACCAGTCACTACCAGGATCTATATCGTCACCGACCGCCGGTTCAGATGAGCCGTACCGGGCAAATCACAGTGTTCGTCGTAGCACAGCTGAATCCTGCCATGTGTAACTTGCAGGGGCCACGCGAAATGTGGAAGTCGAGTGATCACGAAGCAACCGGCTGCAGAAAACCGCTAGAGTCTTAGAAAGTCCTGGATGTGTTGGCCTTCCGATTTCTGATGCCAGCCGCACAGGGTTTAAAGGACCAGCAGTCCAAACGATTTCGCCCAGGACAAATATGCAGCGTACGCAACTAGTGCAAGGCTGCAAGAAAACTGGGCTTGTTGTGCGAGGTTGCGCAGGGCCGCGCATGACATGTCTATAGGCATTGGCGAATCTGCCTCCTTTGGAGGCTAGAGTTCGAAATTTCACGGCAGGCATGGATGCTTCTGTGAAAAGTGTGCGTGCACACTATGTCGTTTATATGTACAAGTGTTGGAGTCCTAGCTGAGCCCGGGCGATGCCAGCAGCCTCTCATTCGTCCATGGCTTGTCTTGGCAATGGCCGGTGACGATGACCTGCACGATGTTTGGCCAAGTATAAGCACTTGCCTTCGAAACCGTTCCAGATTTGGACCTTAAATTGCTAACCCCCGTGCGACTTTCCTCGAAACGAATACCAGGACTCCACAGCCCCGAAATCTCCGTACATGCGCAGCGCACGAGGCCGTCCGTGAACGGCAGTTCGAGGGGACCCCTCAAGCAAACTTGTTTTGGGGAAAGCTCAAAAAGCTTCCATTTTCCTGATGCTGCAGCTGTTTTAGCCTTGCATGAGATTGGTGCTGCAACCCATGCTTATGCCATCGGGAACATTGGCACCACTGCATGCTACCACCAATATTGTAAGTATTTTGGCGAGAGTCACCATTCTGCCACACTTCGCGTCATCGGCATAATCACACCAATGCAACTTCGACCTACTGCTCCTGATGTTGCTGCTGCTGCTGGTACTCCTGTCGCTTGCAGTGCTTGGAGAGGGGAACTGCGCCCCCCTCGGAGCCAAACCCCTTTTTTGCAAAGGGTCGCAGGGCCAGCTTTTGAGGGTAGTTGTTGCCTAAGTCGCTGTAACACACACCAGCTTCAAGCTCGTGAGCGCAGTCCTAGTACTGTCGTTACACAACAGCGGGATGTAGATATGCAAACGCTGACACACTCACCGCTGCGTGGTTGCAATGCAGATGCAAAAATGCTGGTACTCCTCCTGCTCCTACTCCTATGCCAACTCCGACTCCCGCTACCACTTCCTCCGACTACCACCACCAGCACCATCAAAGCAAGTGTAGTTGGTAAGGGTGGGTGGCTACTGCTGCTGCTGCTGCTACTACTACTGCTACTACTGCTACTGGTGCTACGACTGCTGCTGCTGTTACTACTGTTACTACTGCTGCTGCTGCTGCCAATGCCACTACTACTCCGCTACTACTACTACGAAGACGACGGTTACGACCGCGATTGCGACTACGACTCGGGCTTCTACTTAGTTTCTCTAGTCACACTACCTCATTTTCGTGATTCTGCGAAAACTTTTTGCTTCGACGCCTCTACTGCTTCTGTTTCCACTTCTACGCCGACCTGTCCCGGGATCGAAGCGTCTTCCGCCGGCCGGCCGACCACCGTGGCCTCGGCGACGTGGGAAACCAACTCCAGGGCCTCCTGTCGCTCAGGCAGAGTCTCGAGTTTAGGGTTTAGGGTTTCAGGGCTTTGGGTTTGTGAACTTGCAACTTGGGCTTTTACTCGCACGGTTGAAAGCTTCGGTTTTGGGATGTACCAGAAAGTGTCAGGTGTGCGACTTTGCACTCGGACTTCTGGATCATCGTGTCTTCTGGAGGCTTCCGAAGGGTGCACAACCTTGGGGCCACTCAAAGAAGGAAGACAAGGGCAAACAGCGCCTTGATTGAGCATCAGGGAACCGCATTAGAAGGACAAACAGCTTGGGACCGTCTCGGTTGCTTGACAAGGGATTCTTGCGCAATGTTTGACCTGCCTCCGTTGGCCCGCAGCCAATGTAAACAGCACAGAGGTCGTTGAAGATGCTGTCCAAACACCACATAGGAAACAGAAGGTGGAAGAACTTGAAGCGCAAGAAGCTTTGAGGAGAGATGCAAAACCAAGCTGCCAGGGCAAGCACGGTGCAGTAGTGGAGGCTGGTCCCCAGAACGGCGAGCAGGACGAGGCGCAAGTTGTTCCTGGCCACAGCCACAGCTGTGCCCGTCCTTTCACCACAGGCCTTGGCCGGCAAGGCCGTTTGCGCCTGTTGCAGAGTCTGCCGCAAAGCCACGTAGGCATGCCAGGAGAAGATGCCATCAAAGACCAAGAGGTGGAAGCTACCCAACATGTAGATACCAGAGAAGAGCAGTCCGCCCGGCACAATACCACGTCCTCTTGTGAGGCCGTGCAACAGGGCTCCAAGGCACAAGAGTGCACCCCCGATGTATTCCCCATATATCGTGCGTCGCATGCGTCCAGCTACCTCCTTGTCGGAGTGAGTCTCTGTTCTGACGATCACTATCTTTTGCAGAAGGATGTTGGTGACAAAGCTGCCGGTAAACGACAAGGCAAAGACTGCAGCGTTTATGTCAAACCTGTCTACTCCTGCTGTCATGCAGCCACCGAGAGTCCAACCCAAGAGACCCATCATGTTCAAGAGTGCTGTCAAAACCGAATACTTGACGGCCAGGATGCCCAAGGCAGTTTTTGTAGGAATTTGGTACAGCCAAACCAGTGACACACCCAAACCAGCCCAGGACACCCCCATCTGGGCAGCGAGCATAAGGACCATTTCAAGGCCGTAGAGCTGGGTTGATTCGGGAAGTGTTGTGGCGAAGCATCTCCCAGGATCATCCCGACCCAAGGGAGGTCCCAAGGCACAGAAGGCCGTGAGCAGGAATGGAACCAAACTCATGATCAGAGTCGGCTTCCGGGCCTGCTCCCAGAGACCACATAACCAGGAGGCCCACAGTACACAGCAGCTGCATGAAGCGCACACACCCAGTACAGACAAGACGGCAAAGATGGTCTCATTGCGGCAGCTGCCATCTCCAGAATCACTGCATGCAGATGCAGAGACCAGAAGGCAAAGAAGCGTACTCACTCGCATGTCGAGGCGCATCATTGCTGCGCCCTTCTTACTGACCGCGAAGCTTCAAAGCCGGCGAGGCCACATTCTAAAGGCTTACCACATCTTCGGCGTTCACTTCCACATGCTTCAAGATCGGACGATGCCTGTTCACTGCTTCGGTCTAATTACCGGCGTTGTGTTGGGACAGGGACAGCCAGCAATTAACCGGAAGGGAGCACAACAAATCGAAGGACAGATGCAGCAGAAAGAGAGGCAATGCACTGCTTCGTTTCATGCTCGGCCGTGCCGACAAGCTCTCCGAGGTTCGCGAGGAAACAAAAGACTCAGGTTGAAGAGCAAAGGGAGAAAAAGAAAACCAAGAAGGCAAGTGAACAAAGAAATCGGACAAGCCATTCTTGTTGCAGACGATGCACTGAGGACGTACAGACAGAAATTATCCAGAGACATGTAGGACCTTAGGAAATAAGAAAATTTGTAGGTATGAAGTAATGCAGGTGTACCTGGTCCACAGCAAGCACCGCCACAAGCGGCTCTGGCAGAGATGAACGATTATGCAGATAAGGGGTCGCACGGCTACTGTAAGAGCTTGTCCTTCGTGCCATTTAAGCAATTGGCTGTCGATTGAATCTACCACATGCCGCCGCGTTGACAGGGAGTCAAGTGGGACGATCTCCTGACGATACCCCCTTGAAAGACCTGTGTGCCTGATCCCTCCAAAATCCCCTTGCAACCCCGACCCACCTCCCCCGCAATGGATTCAGTCTCTGGTACGCTGAGCCGCTCTTGCTGTTGATGGTGTCAAGATCAATTTGCAGAAATTTCCTTGCAAGAGCACATCGGTCGGAACAGAATCTGCAATCAAACAGCTTCCATCACCACAGCATGGCTTTTGACAGAGCTTCTGCCCCACTCGCTGTAGGTCGGATGACACCATCACCTGCAGCTTCACAACTCCTAGGATAGGTCAGATGCCATAGTGCGACGGCGCATCAAGTCAACAAGGACAATCAGGCAGGCTGCAACACGGATATGCTTGGCAGATTCCACCAGGGTGGAGACCAAATGGAAATGAGCCAAGTGATTCCTCAAAAAGCTCAGCTTTAAGGTTCCATGAGCAGTTGGCACCGCCACAAGCATGGAGCATTGAGACGGGTGGCACAGCAAACTGACTCTCATATCCTCAGCAGGTCACATAGGATGCCGCCGAAACCGATCTCCACAATCACTTCCCTCCCAAACACTCCAAGAGTCCATCTGAAGTCGGCGTCCATCTCGGAAGGGTCGCAATGCCGGCGCAGCACACGACTACCTGACACACTCATGAAAAGATCGGTTTTGTAAGCGTGTGATAGACAGACAGACGGACGGACAGTCAGTACACACACACATATGTATATATATATATATACACATTTCATATAAAAATTTATGTACTTATTTAGAAGCCACGGAGCATCTGGAGGAGACTCGGCCAACTTCTTGCTCAGCGCATCCACCTCTCGGAGGCTGCTAAGATCGGCAATCGCAGCCTCGCCTCAGCGCAGCTCAAGGCATACTATGGTCACTTGATCCGGCGACAAATGGAGCATCATCTGCCGTTCGGGCCGCGTGGCAACGGCTCCGTGCATGTGCCGGAAGCTTGACAAGCCTGGGCGGAGTACGCCACCACGACCCCAGCGGACCATGCAGGGCAATCGTCGTTGCTACGAGGTGCAGATTTCACAAGAGCACACCTGCCGAATGAAACCCAAATCATTGGCTCCCTTAAAATCTCGGGCTGTCTAACAGCTGTCCTCAAAGCCTAAACCCACGGCCCTTTATCGGTGGTACATCGAACACATCCAAATTGAAAGACTGGTGGCATACCACTGACTCGCTCCATGCTGCGCCCATTCACCATGAGCCTGCAATCAGGACCTCAGCTCAGTCTGGCTTCCTTGCTGCTTCTGGAACTCTTGCAGAGACCTTCTTCATGCTGGGTGTCGCACATGCATCTAGCAGTGCCCGAGACACAGCCAAGCCAATGCCATTACAGGCACCGGTAACCAGGACCTTTGCACACAACTGCGTCAGACAAGACTATAGGGACCTTGTCAAAACCACCCTCGAAGGGCCTTCTTCCCGGCGAGCGAGCTGCCGTGCTTCACAAGAACGTCCGCCGCGGTCGAGGCCGAAAGCTGCACACGTCGTGACCGAAGCCACGATAACACAGTCGCCACACTCCCAGCGGCCTCAGCCGACTGCAAACCTGTCCTGTCACGAGCTGCTTCAGGAAGGGTCTGGGGCTCCAGCCAGAGCAGCAGCAGTGACGGCAAGCGCCGGCGAATCCATCACAAGAGATGCTGGTACGGAAGGGTTGGCCTTGTCTCCAAAAGCTCAATACTTTGGTACCGGGCGGTGCGAAGCTGTGTTCTGCTGTGGAGTAAACGGCGATGATGTGTGCCCTGTGACGATTGCCCGTGCTCTCGGAATGATGAGACAGCTTGTCGACAGTGTGCTGAAGCTGCGGGGAGATAATCCCTTTCCTCATCCTCACCTCCAGCACCAGCATCATTATCGCATCCAAGCTTCCCTCCGAGAGCAACAGGGCCTATCGCAAGACGTACTACATAAAGACAAAGGCCAACACGAAAGAGTAGACTTTTTCGAGTTGGAACAAGTTCGAGCATGTTCGAGCACTGGCACCTGGCCTAGGTGGCGTGGCGGGGTCATCGATTCCAGGGTCTGTCCTTGGCAGACATCGATCTTTCAGGGGAATCTATATAATCTGTTCAATACGGAAGGTTTACAGGGATATCATCCCTTTGGCCCTATGACAGCCAGCACGGTAGCTTCTTGCGAACAGAGCGGCGCAAGTGCCTTGTAAGCTGCACGAAGTCGCAGGAAAGCTTCTGCATCGCCACCCTGAAATGTCAAGATCTGTGTTCGGCATGATGCCACCCTGACCGGGGGAAAGCTGCAGCGCATTGCAGCGCCTTATCAGGATGGTGCTGCCTGGCGAGCTTGCGATAGGCTCGACCAGCCTGAGGGGACGGGGACCAACAGTGAGCTCCCCCTTCAGAGAAAACACATTTCTGGTATATCATATCTCCCAGCTCTCCCCGCCTCGACAGGCCCCGCCTCCGGCCCCAAACCCAGCACTGCGCGGTGCTGTGCTGAGACCTCGCACGGCAGATCTAAGGCATCTTGCCACAGAGGTCTCTTCGCGCCTTGGATGCTCCGGGGGCGAAGATGCTGCTCAAGGCCATCCAGGCATACCGGCCACAGGCCAGCCCTCGCAGAAGGGCCTCGCATGCGTCGTCACAGCCCAGTCAAAAAGAAACTCCAAGTCGCAAGCCTCGCCGTTCTCGAGCAGAAGGACCCTTGCTGGCACAAGCCCATCCCCGAGATCCGCCTTGACCACAGCAATCAGAAGCAGCACGAACTCTCGACAAGGCCGTCCCCAAGGTGCGCAGTTCATTGCGGACCTCGGCATCATCGCCGATTGCCGGCAGGAAACCATCGGAAGCCTTGTCAGTCGGAAGCAGCAGAAAGGAAGTTTCAACTTCAGCCGTGAGAAAGCTGGCTTGTAACGTCTGGCTGCTGCTGTGCTCAGGTACCGACGGTTCTCCAGGCTGATGCTGACCCATCTCGCAGATTCCGACGCTGTTGCCACATGTGCAGTCGGCAAACGGCATACGAAAAATGCGGTCGACCTCCGGATAGTGGCGAGGTGCGGGACACCTGCCACGCCACACGCTCGCCCATGTTTGAAAGGCTTTGCGTAGTCACTGCGTAGTCTTTGGTGGTGGTGGTGGTGGTGGTGGTGGTGGTGGTGGTGGTGGTGGTGGTGGTGGTGGTGGTGGTGGTGGTGGTGGTGGTGGTGGTGGTGGTGGTGGTGGTGGTCGCTGCTGCCTTGGTTGGTTTGGCTTTTGTTGTTGTAGCATCAGTAAAGTTAAAGGTAGCATGGGCAGTGGCGTAGCAGCATAGCAGTAGCAGCAGCATCAGCATTTGCAGCAGAGCAAATGTTAGTAGTCAAAGAAGTAGTATCATAGCATCATAAGCAGCAGTAGTGTCGCTGGTAGTGGCAGGTGTAGTGGCAGGTTCGAAGGAGCAAAACCGTGCCAGAGGTCGTCGTGGCAAGAGCAGCCAAGCCCTGGCTGAGTACAACCTCCGGCCTTCGCTGCACGTCGCTTGATGCAAGATGCCAGCAGCGAAAAGACCTGCAGACTGCAGGGTTTTGGATATGGCTTGTTGTTATTGGTAGGCTTTCCTCTCAACATCCGAATGGGCAACAACGCATACCGGAGACGAGACGAGCAACCACTGAGGGAGCTGACACTGCCACAGAGTCGAGACCAAAACTGTCCAAGAAGGCTGTATTTTTCCTTCTGAATTCTTGGAGGACCTCTGTGCATCCAACCTATGCTTAGCTGCGCGTGAGGCAACTAACAGCAGGCAGCTCTGTAAAGCCTGCTTGATAGGATATCTGAGGACACTCATGTGCAAAAGAAACTTTTAATAATAAGTTTTAATAAGGGACGGCTCCCTTTCGAGCATGTCCAAAAGTTGAAGCGAATGACTTTTTGTAAGCCACACGGCACCCTGGGCGTGCAAAGACTGTTAGCAACTCGAAAGACCAAACAAACTCCAGCTGTCCGATGTTGACGGAGATCTGTTTAGATTGGGCCAAGATCCGAACGCAGTCCGCAACCCTGGCATGCAGGCATGTACTGCCACGAAGACACTGGGGACCACCCACACCATCCAGCACAAGCTCGGAATGGTGACTCCTCCGGCTCGTAGCCGTGGCACGTTCGGCATTGGGGGATGTCTTTCCAGGATGCTGTTGGAGACCAGCCGCACCACTCGGCGCATCCATCTGGAACTGCTGCCGGAACTTCCACGACTTGCTGCCCGGAGCAGCGGTAGCAGTCTGGCGTGTATTGCATGGACGAGATTGGCATCCATTGGCACCAACTCGCACAAACCGCGCTATCGACTGGTGCAGATGCAGAGCCGGCATAGCCTCGGCAATCTGGCACGTACTGCAAGCTTCCAAACGGCACGGTGCTGCACCAGTTCGGATATCCTGTTGCTGCCTTGGTCTTCAGACCCGTCTTCTCCGGCTTCGGCTCCCCGATGACAGCCATACTGCCCGCTTTGGTTTCGGCAAGACTCGAACGCAGTCCGCAACCCTGGCATGCAGGCATGTACTGCCACGAAGACACTGGGGACCACCCACACCATCCAGCACAAGCTCGGAATGGTGACTCCTCCGGCTCGTAGCCGTGGCACGTTCGGCATTGGGGGATGTCTTTCCAGGATGCTGTTGGAGACCAGCCGCACCACTCGGCGCATCCATCTGGAACTGCTGCCGGAACTTCCACGACTTGCTGCCCGGAGCAGCGGTAGCAGTCTGGCGTGTATTGCATGGACGAGATTGGCATCCATTGGCACCAACTCGCACAAACCGCGCTATCGACTGGTGCAGATGCAGAGCCGGCATAGCCTCGGCAATCTGGCACGTACTGCAAGCTTCCAAACGGCACGGTGCTGCACCAGTTCGGATATCCTGTTGCTGCCTTGGTCTTCAGACCCGTCTTCTCCGGCTTCGGCTCCCCGATGACAGCCATACTGCCCGCTTTGGTTTCGGCAAGACTCGAACGCAGTCCGCAACCCTGGCATGCAGGCATGTACTGCCACGAAGACACTGGGGACCACCCACACCATCCAGCACAAGCTCGGAATGGTGACTCCTCCGGCTCGTAGCCGTGGCACGTTCGGCATTGGGGGATGTCTTTCCAGGATGCTGTTGGAGACCAGCCGCACCACTCGGCGCATCCATCTGGAACTGCTGCCGGAACTTCCACGACTTGCTGCCCGGAGCAGCGGTAGCAGTCTGGCGTGTATTGCATGGACGAGATTGGCATCCATTGGCACCAACTCGCACAAACCGCGCTATCGACTGGTGCAGATGCAGAGCCGGCATAGCCTCGGCAATCTGGCACGTACTGCAAGCTTCCAAACGGCACGGTGCTGCACCAGTTCGGATATCCTGTTGCTGCCTTGGTCTTCAGACCCGTCTTCTCCGGCTTCGGCTCCCCGATGACCTCCGCTCTGTCATCTGTCGCATTGGCGATGGCAGCAGGAGGCACCAACAGCAAAAGCAACACTGCTCGGCACGCCATGGTGGAGCTTTGTTGAGACACACAAGTCAAATCGCTTCACTTCTTGATCCAACATGTGCGCAGTAGCCATCACAAAAACACTGTAGAGCCCCTGCTGGGTGGTCAACATGTCGATGACGTCTGAAAGGGGACGAGTAAGTGCACGAACCCCTTTTGGGGGAGTTCTCTGATCGGCCTATATATGCGTGATTGCAGAAGCTCGTCACACGTGCACTGCTTATCAAGACCAAACAATACCATCGTCAAGCCGCCGAAAGGCCAACCAAGGCAACTCCCAACTTCCAAGAGCCAGCTAGACGAATAGAACCCATCTATAGCCGCATCTCTGATGCCGAAAAAGCTTGGGTGCCCTGCGTCGAACTCAGAAGCTCCTTCTCGGGCCTCCTGTCACTGTCGGCAGTCGAGGGGCAAGGAGGACTTCCCACCGTGCTCGCGGCATTGCCTGCACCTCGCGCTGGCCAGGGATGTCGGGCCTCGGTCATCTGGAGGCTTGGGGCACCCCGTATCGCCCGGAGCGCTGTAAGCGAGAGGCGATTCTGCAAGAGCCCGAAGCAGCTCCTTGACAGGCGGCTCCTGCGAGCACCAAGCGGCACAGGAAAGATCAGGTCAACAGGGTGTTCTTTGTTGCATAACGTGCAATGCAGAAATAGAAAACAATAAATCCCTGGCCCCAAAACCCTAAACCCTCAAACAGCCCGAGCCCCCAGAACCCCGAATCGGGGTCGGCGCGCCTGGGCCCCTGCAGCCTCCAAGGCGGTACAGCTGTGGGCGGCCGCCTCGGTCTCTGAGAGCTTCTGTTGAGGCCGTCTCTGTGAGCATTTTGGGGTCTGGGGCGAATCTTTGTGGGTGTCGAAGGTGTCGGGACTGAGGGTGTTTTGAGATTCTTGGGCTTCAAGGTTCAGGGAGTGCTTCAAGCAGTGAAAGCGAAGCTGCGAGACTGCTCAATGAGGCGAGGGCGATGGCCAATTCGAAGGGCATTGCGTAGTCTGGCAAACCTCAGAGCTGCTCCAAACACCCCGTTTTCGAAACAGTCAACAAGTCAACTCACGATCTAGGACACGAGCGGCCAAGGCGGACGACACCAGCGATGAAGAGCGAGTAGCTCTGAAGTATCGAAGTGCAAGCTTCATCGATCTCCTGGCTGCAGGACTCAAGACCCACCCTGACCGTCCCCATCTCCACAGCTGCATGCTGGAGGGCCCTCCAGTCTATCGACTCTGCTCACCCATCAGTTCCTGTGCCAGCGGCGTTCCATCCGAATCCGTCTGGATTCGCATGCGCTGGAGCAGCGAGGGCACCATCGACCTGCGACCGTCAGTCACTAAAGCAAGGATCTCCGGCAAACACCGATGCTGTCTAGAGTCTAGACCTGCCACGCAGATATCAGGACTCAGAGCTGCGCATGCCTGCGTCTTGCTGTCCCGGCATTCATGTGCAGTGGTGTAGCCAGGGAGGCAAGGACCTGTACCACTTTGACTTGTGTCTGCCTTGCCTACCTCAAGTGTGCGCCCACAGCCTCACCACGAGTGGCAAAGCTACTAGGTTACTAAGACTCATGCGGTAGACCAAGTGCGTGCATCGCCGCCACTGCAAAGTTGACAAACGCGACCTCCGATGAAAACATTAAAACATGCCTCGCAGAAACACACTTTTCTGTCTACAGGATATGGTAAGCTGTAGCTATCGCTGTCAGGTAGAACTACCATTGGCACATCTAATGCCAACGGAGCGTGTGTCACCTAAGGATAAGACGACGTCGTCTTAGTGCCCGACGGACGTCTGGCACTAAAGATGCTGCCATCGCATCTGCTGCTTCGTCGTCTTCGGCTGTGCTGAGCCCTGGAGACTTTGGGCGCGAAGCTCAGAGGAAGCTCAGCGATTGGAAGCTTCTGGGCCCGGGCCTGGGGTCCAGGGCCGTTCCATCAATTCCGCAGCATTGGAGTCTCCTGCTTCCCAACCTCACCATGCAGAATACTGGAGTGCCCAGCAGTCGTCCGACCCTCTGAGCATCGGGCGATCGAGCAGTTCTCGCAACGTGACCACAGCCATGGGCTTTCTGAGAAATTTCAACGACACCAGCAAGCTGGTGAGCAAAGCACGAGCTACCGCAACGGAAACGCTCGTAGCTGCGATGCGCAAGGTCTCAGAAATTGGAGCGGGCACCGTGCTATCTCTTTCCAACATGCTGCAACACGGCACAGCTCTTTCTGACGCAGAGCATCCGGAGTCGGCACTCAATGAGCTCAGCTTTCTTCCACCTAAGGTGCGACTTGTCGAAGCGTAAAGGACGGCACTCGCGTGGAAAAAAAAACACAATTCACTTACACTTATTGACTTATTTCTTCCGAATCACTATGCTGCAGTTCGTGCAGCCTCAGCGATGTGCATCTCAGCTGAGCCACCCGCCTCCTCGAAAAAGTACCGACCCGATGACTCCTGCCAGAACCAACGCTGGCCTCCAGAGTTGCCAGAGTCGAGGCAAGTGCCAGCAATGATCTTTTCTGTGCCTTCTTCAGTGAAGAACATTTCCCAGCCGTCTTCCAGGTCATCTGCCCACAGGACCTGGCGCAGCCATGTGCAGCCACTGCCTGTCTTAGGTGCATGCCGGTTGGGATCCCGACTCTCAGATTCGGGAACCCTGCACACTTTTCAGCGTCTGGAGCTCCCAGTTTCGGGTTTGTGCATGTGCACTGGCCGCTCTGGCTCCTCCACCCTGGCTAGCTAACGTGCTGTCACATGCAACTCTGCACAGGAGGGAGGAGTGGTGCAAAGTCTGCTGGCGCCATGCATCACTGCTACAGGTAACCTAGTCCTAATCTCCACGTCGGGGGAGCCGGGGGTCTCAGGAAAGGATCGCATCAAGCGAAAGACCAGCCACCTAAGCGAGGAAGCATTCTGTGATGCACAGCAATTGCAACACGGACTAAACCTGAGGTGTAGAGACATGCGACAAGGAGCTAGCTGCCCTGATTTGCCATTAACTTCTTGTGCTCCTCGTGGAATGGACAAGCAGCATAACTTAACAGACGAGTGCGCGCAACGATTTCTATGAGACTCCTCCGGCGTCTTCAGCATGAGGGACAGTGCATGAAGCCTGCCTGTATCAAGGTCCTCGCCTCAGTTGAGACGGTCAGACTCACGCAGACACGGCTCACTTCAGCTTGAAACAGGGGCCCTCGCGTAGAAGTGCCTGAACTTCGCGCTGGCGATTCACTCGGGTCTTTCCTTTGAATGCCTGGCAGATTTCCAAATGTGAGATCCATCGCCTTCCATCGCCTTCCCATCCTAAACTCGTGCCTCGCTGACCATAACTATCGCCACCTGAAGGAGCTTGGCTCGAGGTGACAACGAGAAGCCGCTACCGTAAACGTGCCTTCAGAGCACCGCAAGAGTTACCTCAGAAGGGCATCAAACGAAGCAACGTGTACTGTGGACCCGGTGTGTTCATCAAGTGCACTTGCCGAATGACTGATCGGCCCAGGGCCACGAAGTCAGCTGAAAACGATGATGCTGCCGCATGTCTACAGTATCCGCCTCTGTTGTGATGCCAAGCCACCTTGGTTCTCGATGTCCAGGTACCTGGACAAGATGCGAGCAGGCCTGTATTGATAAATGAAGAACCAAATCGACTACCGCGGTGGTATGGTGGTAGTAGCAGGGCTTGCAGTAGCCGCAGCAGCTGCAGTAGCAGTAGTGGGAATGGCAGCAAGTAAAAGTCGCAGTAGTAGTAGTAGTAGTAGTAGTAGTAGTAGTAGTAGTAGTAGTAGTAGTAGTAGTAGTAGTAGTAGTAGTAGTAGTAGTAGTAGCAGCAGCTGGAGTAGTAGTAGTAGTAGTAGTAGCAGCAGTAGTTGTGGTAGTCATAGTGGTAGTAGTGGTAGTAGTGGTAGTAGTGGTAGTAGTGGTAGTAGTGGTAGTAGTGGTAGTAGTGGTAGTAGTGGTAGTAGTGGTAGTAGTGGTAGTAGTGGTAGTAGTGGAAGTAGTGGAAGTAGTGGTAGTAGTGGTAGTGGTGGCAGCAGCCTCAGCAGCAGCAATAGGCTTAGTGGTATACAAGACTACAAGCAACTCAAAGAAGAACGACGAGAAGAGAGACGGCAACAGATCGGACACGAGGTTGACGGCTAATGAAGTACATTTCAGACCATGACATGAAACGAGACGCGATGGATTGTACTTCTCCTTCAGGCGTCGCTCGATGTCCTGGCAGCGCTGGATCCAAGGACTGGAGCGTCTCCGGCAAGGTGGGACTTTACATGTAACTGAGTTCAGTTCAGCAGGAGCTCCGGGCTCTGATTGAGGTGTGCGGCATAAATCACGTCATGTTTGAACATGCTGCGTGGTTCTGTGCTGCGAGTGTACTCCCAACTGTTTGGAGGCCACGCTGTTTATACTCTCCAGTCGGAATTGTTGCAAGGCGCCTGCTCCAGCGGGATGCCTCGATGGCAAGGCAGAACCGGAGATGGAGCAGTAGGGTCTGTGGCTTTAGATTGGACAATGTCTCCGAGGTCCCTGTCTCGTGAAGCCCCGCTTGTTGGCTGCGGGCTGAGCAGCTCATGTCGGGAGCTCCCGGCTGCTGGCCATTCACTGCCATGGCCGCGGCCTTCTGGGCAGCAATGCCTGGACTCCGTGACTCTGTGACCGTTGAAATGCACTGCAAACCACGAGACGCCAGGGAAGGAAAACCGCTTACGCGGGTCGCAACGACTTTGTAGCTGTAGCCATTCCGCATGGCAGCTGATGGCAGCTGGAAGCTTCTCTAGCTGTTGAGAAGTGCCGGCTGCCGGGTGCAAATTCCAACCGAGATGCCTTCAAGTCCAGCCGCCTGCAATGGGCACTCTGTGAGAGCACTCACCATGCCCAAACCGCCCCGGTCGGCCTTGGCAGCCTGCAGCGCCACTTCTTCCTTTGGCTTGGCTGGAGCCTTTGGCGCCGCGGTTGCCGGTGATTCGGCAGATTTCCTAGACTCTTCAGGCATGGCAACGTGCACACAGAACAAAGCGATGCTCGTTGAAGCCCAGCACATCCACGCCCTTCAATGACTGCAGCCAAAGCACTTCAGCGCTGCCTCTGTCTCTTCAATCTTTGCCTCGCGAGTACATTAGAAGCCACAAGCACCGCACCTCTGACCACGCATGGAAGGAGGATACCCGAAGTGAGGCCCAGGGCCACGTAACGCTCCTAGAGTCTGGAGTCCGCTAGAGCCTCCTTCGCCTTCATATTCCTTCCTTCCCGACACCGAACCAGACACAGGGAGATATCTCTCTGTGCGAAGAGAAGCAGAGGCCAAAGAATCCGGCCTTCAGCTGCTGCCGTCTTAGCAACACGAGCACAGCTGCTCCCCCCAGCGAGGCCACAGCCACCTCGAAAGCAACGGAACGGAGCGGAGGCACTTCCCAAAGCCCAGGAGCTCGTGGCCTTCAGCACCCAGCTCGGCAGGTTCTCCATGGCTCGAGCTCAGCTGATGCTTTTCGACAGATCTCTCTACTGTTGACCTGGAATGAGGATTCACTTGAGGACATGCTCAGGAAGAAGGGAAGCTAAGCCTCGGTAGGCCCTACGAACCGCTCGGTCTGAGTCAGACATGAAGAATCACAACGTCTGCACTTCCACAGCTCGAGCAAGGAATTGCTATCGAATTGTCAACTACACTCGGTGACACCAGCGGGCAGCATGAAACCCACCCACTCAAGCGGAGTCGCTGGTCTCATCTTTGCATGCTGTGATGGGCCCACCTCCTCGGTGGAAGGATTCCAGAACCAGACACGAAAACTGTCTGGTTCCAGCCAGCGCTGCCAAACCTTGCGAGATGTGAGGCACGGCCGCAGCGAAGTGGGACCATTCGCAAAGCCTGCCCCCTAAGCCAGGCCTCCTCCTGCGTTGAAGCAGTGGATGCTGTGGAGGCTGACCTCCAGGCTTCACCGGTGCCATGGCAGAAATGCCCCAACGACATGCTCACATCATGGCGCCCCAGAAGGCCCGCGCGCATCAGAGGCCATGGGCGTGGCCCCGTTCTTCGAGGCCTCGCGCGCCGGGCAGCTCGTGCTTGTTGCACATGGAATGCCTCCGGCCTCCTTCAAAGGAACATCGTCCAAATCCACATGAGCCTGACAGAAACGGACAGGGAAGGATCCCAGCAAATCATGGCTTCGTTCAGACGGCGCCTGTTGTTCTGTATTGCCATTGCCTCAGCTTTGCAAAGCTTGCCCTGGCCCGGGCTTCAGCTCTTGGCCTCAGCTCTTGGCCTGCGGGAAAGGCCGCGAACTCCTCCTGGCAGAGCCAAAGGCCGACAGAGAAAAGACTGAGTCCTGATCTCCAACAGCAACCCTTCATTCGGGCCTCGATGTCGTATCGCTCCTCGGACAAGGATGCTCAGGGGCAAGCGACCATCCGCAGGAGCAAATCTGGAGACTCGCTCCCTTTTGCTACAACCGAACATCGCCATCCCGCCTGCCCCTTCTCGGAAGCCCTAGGGGACAGGTTGAAGTGGCGCGCAGTGGTTTGAGGTTCCGCCTGTCGAGAAGAGGTTCCGCCTTCCCTCTGCAAGCTCGGGCCCTCGTCGGCCTCGGCTTCGTCGAAGCTCTTTACCTCGATGAGGCTTCCCTCTGCATCGGCCTTTGCGTTGCACCGCCGTCTCCCGTCGTCTGACTGTCTGCGCCCTGTCTGCCTGATCGTTCGCTTCCGTAGGTGAGCTCGAAAACCTGGGCGACAGCACGGGATGCAACATGCCATCTTCCTGCCCCAATACCGGCAGCGCTTCATCCATTTTCCCGCTTCCCCAGTGTGCCTGTGAAGGCTCGCTTTCGCATGGTTTCGCCTGGCATCCTGTCCGCTATCCTGCTCGTCTTCTCCGGAAGGATTCAACTCTCCTGTCTCTTGTTTTCTTCAGAAATCTCTCCTTCCCTCTCTACTGAGTCCCGTTCCCAGAGCAGCGCGGGTAGCCATCATCCCGAGGCCTTCGAAGATGAAAGGCAACTTTGCCATGCCGCGGCTACGTCCTCAGAAGCCTCCCTGCCTGCTGTCAAAGTCCGCGTAGTTAGCGCGACGGCCTTGCTCTGGGGGAAAAGAAGAGACTGGATGAGATTTTGGGTCAACATGCGCCAGACTCCACGCACTGTGCCATGACAACTGATTACGGACCGCTTCAAGAAACAGGTCTCAGTTTGCCTCGACGCCCCATGCGATAGGTTCGTGGCTCCTGCATGCACAGTAGCAGCAGCATGATGGCATCGCTGTTCTTGCCGCTGCTTCGTAGCCACTATCAGCCCGAGGATCCGGCACTGTCCACGTGTTTGTAAGTTGCTCGCACATCAAACTCCGTCTTGCCTGCCGGAGTCTCCTGGAGAGGCAAAGCCAAGAGCAAAGCCACCTCTACTGTAGCGTGTAGCTTTTTGGGCCCCCGTCGTCGCCTCTTTTGCCTGCTTCCCTCGCCTTTGCTGCAGCCAAGACTCCACCTCCCGCAGCTCGAAGCGCCGGCCGAGCCTCACCGATGCAGAGCTCGCCAGGAGCTCGGCAGAGCTCGGCAGAGGCAGCAAAAAAGTCTCGGCACCTGCTCCTGCTGTAGAGCACCACGCGCTTCACGTCCTGCGATCGTTGCCGAGACGTGATTTTGTCCTTGTTCCATGGAAGTCATTCGGCACGTGACGGGTCCTCCTCCGTGGCTCCTTGGAGCTCCGGCTCGGAAAGCACTTGGCTCCTGGGCTCAGCATGCCAACGAAGCTCTGGCCACAAGACCGTAGGAAATGATGAGGCTTCGACATGCTGATCCAGCCTTCGTTGGCTTCTACTTCTACCTGATGGACAACGGAAACGTGCCGGGTGGTTTTGACAGGAGCATCTGGGAGCAGCACCATATGGTACCGAAGCCAAGCTGCAAGAACTCAGCGATTGCGAGGTCGTACTCTCTTGCAGATTCGGAAACCGAAAGCGCCTTCTGGCTTACCAAGGCAAGACGAGACCCAAGGTGACTTCTTCTGAGGGTCCGACAATGTGAAATACGGTCGTCATCTGGGCCTGTGCACGCATGCCTGTACTTCTGCGACTTCACTATTGCCGGTTTGATCTTCAGGACTGCCTCTTGAGTCTCCGTGCCGCTCACGCCGCCCGGAGCCGTTAGAGAAGAGGAGCCTTCGAGAGATGGGAGAGCGATAAACTGTGATGCACAGCCCAGAGCTTCCTCTCACAACGGCGACATTTTCGCAACATCGCTACGCTTCCCGCTGTTCTTGGGCAGTTCAACGACCGCCATGATGCCATGCGATGCGGGGGCGTGAGCTGTCTGCATTTGATGAAAGTTGGCTTTATGGTGCATCACAAGACATAACGAAACGAGCGCCTGTCGTGTGACCGCCGCTCGTCCCGTGTGCGAGGACCTCAGCGGAGCGGAGCGTCCAAGACAACAGCCCTTGATTGCATCCGTCTTGAACTTCATACTCTTCACTTGGATCGAGGCCCTGCCGTCTTTCCGGCACCGTCTGGAAAAGGGAGAACGAAATCACAGCAAGTTCGTAACGGCGCATCATATACTTGACCGTGAGTGCAGCAGGCCTCCTGTCCAGAACCACCTCGCACAGTCTGCAGAATCCAGAATCCGTTGCAAGCCCTTCTTACTCGCATGATCTATCCACCCCATGCCGTTTCCGGCCTCTGGTCATCGGCTCCTGCCAAAGACGCGTCCACGGCACGTCAGGTGCGGTGCCCTCCCTTATGTTCCCTTGCCTCTCGGAGTCTCGGTGCATTGAAGAAGTCGTCCCACTCATGGCCTTGCACGGAGACACGGAAGACGCCCCGCCGGTGCAACGCGCAACTGCCGATCCAAGATCAGAGACCGGGCCACGGCCTGTCGGGGGATCTGCCGCTTTCGTTTTCGGCAGTATCTTGCCCTTGCAGCACAGAATCATAACAGGCCATCAATCGCAAGCAAAACACTCTCTCTGCATTCTGAAACCTAATTTTTGTGAACTGCGCTACACAGACAAAGGCCTCCCATGGGTCGACTTCTGCCAATCCCAGCGGAGGAACTGCCATGGCAGATAGGAATTTTGGGCATAGGCGCCGTGAATTTAGGAGTTTCGGACGTTGCAGTATGGGTTTGTGTCTTGGAGGTTAAGGTTGGGTTTGGATCGGCGGCGCATGTGAGGTCATATGTTTGTTCTTTAACGAAGGACTTGCTGTTGAAACGAAGGCAGGGCCTTCAACGGGTTGGTCTAAAAGGAACTGCATTGCATGCGGTTGCAACAATAAAGCTGCACTGCATCTTCAATGCAAACCGTCTGTGGGGTAATCTGCACGTCTGAAGAAAAAAAGCTGTCCTGCATGCACCAGAGGGCTGTGCACGCCCCAGACACGCAGAATGCTAGATCGTGCATACACCCTATACTCTAGATCTTTCATACTAAACCCTACTGAAACCCTAGTCCCAATCTTGTGTTAACAATCTGGCCGTAGTTTGAGTAGTCCATATTCCAGAATTCCCAAACTCCACAAGTCCATGATTCCCAATGGCTTAAGTCCTGGCTAGGCTCCAGCGGGGCCTGACGGCATCGCCTTCACAGGCACATTACTGGGCTCCGGGGACGGTCGCGTTGCCTGCCAGCAGGGTGGCTGCTCTGCCTACTACTGCATGTGTTTGTATCTAAATGTTTACACACACATATATATATATATATGTATATATATATATATATATATATATTCATTTATTTAGTTATGTGCACCCATAGATACAAACCTACGTACGTACATACATACGTATACACACATGTAGGTGATGAAATGGGGGCAGGAAGGCAGTTAGGTAAAATAGGTAGGCAAACAGGTAGGCGAGTAGACACGTAGATGTATGTGTGTGTACATGTGTGTATAAATATACATATATATATATGTGTACATATGTACAAACTCGTATGTGTGTGTATATATATACATATTTATTTATCTATACATACATACATATAACATATACATAGATATTCTATTCTACTCTACTCTAGAAATACAGACAGAAAAATACATGCGTTTACATGACTACGCCTCTACCTCGACATGCCTAAGTACAAACAAAGGCGGATGATAATATGAATGCAACTGTAAATGGTAATATGAATCCAGACGTGAGCACACACACACAAACATATATATATATATATATATACATATACATATATACACATATATGGGTGTGTACATGACTATGTGTATGGAATACCTGCAGAAAGCGAGAGAGAGAGAGAGAGAGAGAGAGAGAGAGAGAGAGAGAGAGAGAGAGAGGGAGGGAGGGAGGGAGGGAGGGAGGGAGGGAGAGAGAGAGTGAGAGAGAGAGAGAGAGAGAGAGAGAGAGAGGGGGGGAGAGAGGGGAGAGACAGAGAGCGAGGGAGGAAGGGAGGGAGGGGAGGAGAAGGAGGGAGAGGGAGGAGGGAGAGGGAGGGAGAGGGAGAGGGAGAGGGAGAGGGAGAGGGAGAGGGAGAGGGAGAGGGAGGGAGAGGGAGAGGCGAGAGATAGATACATATCTGGACTCGGGAGGAGCACACGTGTGTACGTGTGTGTGTGTGTGTATGTATGTATGTACGTATGCATCTATATATATATATATATCAGTTACTACGATCGCAGACGTTCGGTGCCCTCACTGAACAGACTATCGGCGATCGCACCTTTTTCATGCGACCGCAACGTGGGAGTCGGCCACAGTCGGATCATCAAAATTTCACTTGATCTTCACAAGTCCGATCGGACCCCCGATCGCCGAGGGGTGCGCCATGGCATTCGCCACAGACCGCAACATCATCCGATCGGACACATCAGACAAGCGATATTCCCCGCGAACAAAATTAAAAGTCTTCGATCGGATCATCGGGCTCCGGCGACGGCTCCTCGATTGGATCATCGTCGAGGGGGGCCGCGCCGAGCAAGTCAATCAACTGCCGCTCGGCGGCACGAAAAGCTGCGTCAGGAGCAGCTTTGGCTCTCGTCCGAGCGGGAGTAGCGCGAGAAGCCTGGTACGCCGCGATCTGGGCGGGAGTCGGGGGCGCCTTGGTCGGCGGACTCGAGCTCCTCGTAGACACCATGATCTCGGTGCCGGGAGGGAGCTGCGTACCGGGCGGGAGCTGATCTAGCCGCCGCGGGGGCTGCCCCGGAATGACATAGTGAGCCGGTCCGCTGATGCGGACATCATCGGGCACTGTGTCGAGCGATCTGGGGGGCTGCCCTGGAACTATGTACTGAGCAGGCTCGGCGAACAAAGGAGAACGCCCTTTCGGAGCCGCTCGGCCTTGGCGCGGCAGACCAGCCTTGGGATCCACATAGTAGACCGGCTGATCCATGCCTCTGTTTCGATGAGCTCTGGCCGGGGGCGCTTTGGGCACCGGCCGCTGAACAGAGGGCACGCCCATCACTTGATCCCAGTTGAGGGGAGGATCTGCCCCGTGATCGTAGCCGGCCGGCTGGTGACGATCGCGATCACGATGAGCCGGCGGCGTGACCCAGGGGGTCTTTCGGCAGAAATGACACATATCCAGGCGACGATCGCAAGCCGTGCACAAAGGAGTGCGCTGGTTGGGGGCCCACTCTTCGCGGGGGACCCGAACGGCTGCGTAACATTCGTCTTGGCCGTCCCCGTCGCAGAAGCAGCCGGTGAACAGGCCGCAATCCACGCAGGGACGGCAGAGCTGATCTGTGTCGCCGAAAGCGAGCGCTTGAAGGCCAACGTCGTTGCGAGGATCCCGCATACCGAAAAGAACAGATAGGGTGGAGAGGGTGGGATTTTTCGGTATGGCCCGATCGGCTATCGCCAAAATGGCCACGGAGAAGATAGATCAAGTCTGTTCCAACGATCGCGAAACTGATCTCCTAATTCCTACCCACCAGACCGATAATTAGGAGACCAGTTACTACGATCGCAGACGTTCGGTGCCCTCACTGAACAGACTATCGGCGATCGCACCTTTTTCATGCGACCGCAACGTGGGAGTCGGCCACAGTCGGATCATCAAAATTTCACTTGATCTTCACAAGTCCGATCGGACCCCCGATCGCCGAGGGGTGCGCCATGGCATTCGCCACAGACCGCAACATCATCCGATCGGACACATCAGACAAGCGATATTCCCAGGCCCTCAAACTCCTTTCGGAAAGTCCGAGAGGACAGTGATCCAACCACACATCAGACCTGTAGCGACATCACCACGAGAGGGATTATCCGCCGGGTTCGAATCGGTCGGTACCCGATCGATATAAACAGAGCACCTAAGCTCCAGAACAAGCTCCCAGAAAATTCCTACGAGCTCGCAGACGTCCTCTTTTGCAGAGTAGCCTTTGATCAAAGCTGCCTCTACAGGCTCGGAATCGATAAAGAGGAGGACCAGCTTTCCACGGATCTCTTCCCTGAAAGTCTGTATCGCAGCGACCGCGGCCAAAAGTTCGATCATGCAAATTTGGGTTTTCCGGGGGAACCACCTCGACATGATCTGCCGTGACACCCCCGAGGCGAATTGCCTAGGCTGATCGTCCCTAGTGAACATCACTCCTCCAATCATCTCAGAAGAGGGATCCTTGGGGTTCGAGCTCGGCGCCGATCCATCCGTGAAAATCACCACGTCGGACTTCCGCGGCCCCGAACTGGGGATAGGCCTCGGAGGCCCATGCATCACGAGCGTCCGCCACTTGTAGAGGGAGTAGAGGAGAGCAGGCGATAGGCTCGTACTGACCGTCTTCCGGGAGTATTGCCTCTCCGACAGAGATCTCAGGAAGGCTCGGCCGATCTTCCCCCAGAGCTGCGAAGCGCCGAACATCAGCTTTCCTCTGAGCTTCCCGGCTTGGCCGGGAGACATCTCTTCGTGTTCCAGGATCGACGAGATCTCGTCGAAGAGCTCCTGCTTCCTGGACTTCTTGATCTTGAGCAAGTACTGATCGAGGTCATAGGTCACGCCCAGGATCGTGGGATCCGAGCAGAGCTGGAGCTTCTGCTGATCGAACCGGGCCCCGAGCCACCAATGGACCTTCTCGGCCAGCGCGAACGCACTATCTGCCGTGGCCTCCGGCTCGAAGCCGTACTTGTCGTCATAGAAGTTGAAGCCGGCCACGATGAACACGCGCCTTAGAATGTCGGTAATCGCAGCCGAGCGGCGGTTGTAGTTATAGACGGCCGAGACCAAGCCGAAGGAGTGGCCGACCATCACGAAGAACGCCACCTTTCCCGTGGCCGGATCCTTCAGAGCGACCACACTCCACTTGCGATGGGCCGGAGAGATCGGCACCTGCCGATAGGCTCGCCGCTCGTCCAGGACCCAACCACGTAGCGGGGACTTCGGCAGCCGCGAGCGCAGCCACTTGATCACCGCCACGTTCGCGTCCGTCGAGGGGAGTTCGAGTTTCTCGGTGACGATCGTCGCCATGTTGATCCCATTCGAGGTAGCACTGTCAACTCCCCTGACTTTGTTCTTTTGAACCACTTCAAAGCGCTGAGTAGGGATCCAACGATCATCGCCGACGAGCTCCGAGACTTCGGCCTCGCCGAAGAAGGGACCGATCGCCGACCCTTCTCGAACATCTTCCATGGTCCCTTCCCAGACCTTGGGAGAGTGCTCGGTGATCGGAGATTTCCGAATCGCGCCTAACACCTTCGATCGAAATTCCCAGGCCCTCGAGCGAAGGGCATCAACCGAGAGATGCTCCGCATGAGGTTTGCGATCGGGCTTCCATCGGTGGGAGGAGGCAATATCGCCGACGATCGGCATGCCCGCCATGATCTGATCTACCAGGTCAGTGTCACTGCATTTGGCCTCATTCATGAGCTCCCGCCAAAGGGCGACGTGGAAAAACTGACCCATTTCCAGTGGACGATCGTCTGGGCCGCCGCGAAGAAGACGGCGCAAATGCCGATCTGGTATCTGCTTGAGCAAGGAGTCAGAGGACGGGAGCAGATCATGAGCTCGCCGTTCCCAATGCTGCAGAAGAGAGGCTCGACGATCGCGCACTTGAGCAGGATCGCGAACAATTTGCTCCAGAACATCAAGGAGGTCTGGGTCGAT